ACTTTAGATTCTGGGGTACATGTGCAGGTCATGCAGGGTTGTTGCATAGGTGCATATATAACCAGGTGGTTTGCTGCCTCTATTCCCCCTTTGATTATATCTGGCATTTCTCCCCATATTATCCCTCCCCAGGCCCCTCTGTCCCTCCCCTAGCCTCCCCCCAACTGCCCCCAGTGTGTGATGCTCCTCTCCCTGAGTCCACGTGTTCTCATTGTCAACACCCACCTATGAGTGAGAACATGCAGTGTTTGGTTTTCTGTTCTTGTGTCAGAATCTCCTTCCTTTTCTATACCCACTTAATCCAGAAAAAGAGTCTACTATTATGCCAAATATTTCAGGAAGTGTTTGTTGCCAAATTACCTGAAACAAATCATGTACACACATGGAAGAAAAGAACATTTTCAAATCAGTGGAAAGATTATGCATTTTTGTTTTACAAGATCTTTTAAATACTGAAGTAAGCATTTAATAGATATTGATTCAATTGAGTGCTATGCTTTGAAATGATATCAAATTGAAGACAGGATCCCTGACCTGGGAAGTTTTATGAACTTGGTGGAGAGATGAAACCCATAGGTATGGAAGTGACCACAAAACAGGTAGACTTCATATCAGGAAGAATAGTACAAAAATGACAGAACCCCTTAGTACTGAGGAACAGCAGGATACGGGGTTTCGGTAGGGATTTACTACAGCTCTAGAAGACTTGAAATCATGATTTAGTTCCTAAAGCACTATCATTTCAAAGTAGCATTTTTTAAAAAACCACCTAAAATATTCACTTCTTGTTGAAACCCAGGAATATACTGCAGTTGTGCTTTACTCATTTGAAATAAATACATCTTTCTTGAAATTTTAACTTTTTTTTTTTTGAAAAGGAGTCTCATTCTGTTGCCCAGGCTGGAGTGCATTGGTGCAATCTCAGCTCACTGCAACCTCCATCTCCTGGGTTTATGCGATTCCCCTGCCTCAGCCTACCGAGTAGCTGGGATTACAGGCACCCATCACCATGCCTGACTAATTTTTGTATTTAATAGAGACAGAGGGTTTTACCATTGTTGCCCAAGCTGGTCTTGAACCCATGACCTAAAGTGAGCCATCCCCCTCAGCCTCCCAAAGTGCTGGGATTATAGTGAGCCACTGCGCCCAGCCTGAGATAAATACACCTTTCTAAAGTCTCAGTGTTTAGGTTGATTTACTTTCAGATACTCATCTATGCACTATGCCAAATTACTTCTGCTTAGATTCATTCTTAGTCTGCAGGAGCTGGAATATCTCTATACATCACAAAAAGTCACATTGAGAGTAAAAATCCCAGCCAGAGACTTACCTCAAAAGCTGAGGCATGACACCTATTTTAATAGCAATAGATTTAGAAACGAAGGTTAGGACCGTTCTTTCTTTATTAGAAGGAGATTTATAATTCAGGGCCTTTTAGAGTGTGCCTGGGTCCTTGAACTGGACTTCTTCTCTTGTCCCTTCCTGTACCCCAACTCCCCAAATTAAATAAGTAGGGAAGCAGAACAAGAAAACCATTAACTTAATAGCATAGAATTTATGACTAAAACCTTGCAAAGCTTAGGTCAGCAAAGTAAAATAATTACTGTCACTTTCTTTTAGACACTTGGCTTTATGGTTCCTGTCACCTTTATCATAACATGCAGCTGATTTAGTAGCTCTGTTTTTCATGGCAAATAGCCTGGTGTTATGTTTTTATGCATGTGACCATGCTATTGAAATGACAATACATGGCTATACTACAGTAGAGCTAAATTTAGATAATGAATTAGAACACTGTTAAAGTTTTGGTTTAGTCATGCTGTCAGAATGCCAACTCAGCCTTTTTTCTTGCTCTTTTCCCCTCTAGATTCTCAAGTCCAAAGATTTAACATCTCCAACCCAGCGCTACATCGACAGCAAAGTTGTGAAAACAAGAGCAGAAGGCGAATGGCTCTCTTTTGATGTAACTGATGCTGTTCATGAATGGCTTCACCATAAAGGTTATAAGCCACTCTCTCTTTTCCTCCTGAGACGTTCAGTATCCCTAAGTTACTTTAAATTGATTGCAGATTTAAGAATATCGACATACATTCAAATGACCTCCTTGACTTATTGTTTTCCAGACAGGAACCTGGGATTTAAAATAAGTTTACACTGTCCCTGTTGTACTTTTGTACCATCTAATAATTACATCATCCCAAATAAAAGCGAAGAACTAGAAGCAAGATTTGCAGGTAACTGTAACTTGGTCATATGTGATGGGAGCGGGAAGGGTCTATATTAATAATTTCATGGGGATAAAAATCAGTTTACATGTGAAAATGAGACTGGTGAGGCTTGGGGACTTTCATTCATTTGGACAATGATATGGTTGGATATACATATGTGAAAGAATAAAAGACTGGAAGAACGGATTGGTTCCCAGTTTATAATTCCTGATGCCCAGTGATGACTTGGTCAGTACTAAGTGATTAACTCATTAGCCCTCCAATAGTAAGATAACACCTTGTGTTCTTCATTTTAGCAAACCAACTTACCATCTATACTGATATTATAGAGAAATATAGCATGCATTTAAGAAAATTCATTCATAATCCCCCAAACCAAACGTTGGGAACCAATAACCATATTTCACGGAAGAAAGGAGTCTCCTCATCTACAGCTTCCATAACTAACCTTCCATGTATAAGAACATTCCACCTTTTCTAGCCCGTACCCAACATTTCAAGTGGCTTCCTTATCAGAATTTTATATTAGTTTATACACACATTAAAAGGGTTTTGGCTTTCCCCATGCTCACCTTTAAGTAAGTTCGACTTTTGTCATGGAGAGTAAGGAGATATCAAGGGTTCAGGTCGCTTCATGTATTAGATGATGAGTTGTTGGATGATGAGAGGTGAGAGGGAATCTGCCCATGTGCCAGTGCAGCATCCGTCCACAGTGCCAGGCCAGAGAACTGATTTCCCTGCCCTCCTAACATCACCCAGGACCTCCATCCACTTTTAGAAGACTACAGCAGCCCTTGCTCATGGAAAAATACTCCCAGAGGTCTAGAGATTTATTTCAGTCTCTAACCTAGTCATGATTCTCTGGAGTGTGGAGATTAAATGCTTAAACTGGCAGTCTCTTGAGCATGCTTTGGGGAGCTCAAGTTTCTAAATCTCAGATGGAATCAGGAAAGTGTTGAGGATGCCATAAAATAAATGAAAAAGCCCTTTCTTCACAGCTTCCCAAAATAGCATTAGGTAAGGGTGACTTCTGTTTCACTTGAACCTAATTCACTCCAATTCAGTTAAGTCTCAGTTTATGTTCATTAGGAAAGTCTTTTGAGTTTAGTAGTCTTAGGAAGAGTGTGAACCAGCGGGTGACAAGGCATGTTCTATTGCCATGTGTTCAGTTGTTGAGGGTTTGAACACAGCCTAAACTGAGGATTGACTAAAATAAACTGCCTAGATTGCCCTTGGTCTATAGGTCAAACACTGCTTCTGTAGTAACTTTCACAACCAACAGCCCTGGCTTTGATACCAAACTGCCTTCTGACAAGAGCCCCATTTAGAAGTGTTAATTAATTGTCATGTGGGTTAGTTGTAGTCCTGTTGTGCCATATCTATTTCCATGGGGAATGACTGTTGCCAGCTGATGCTGCTTTGGTGGTCATCACTGCTATTTGTGACAATATACAAAGGAAAAAAATATGGCTGGTTATATTTGATGAAGGTGAAGCTAAATGTTTATTACCCAAATGCATTTTTTCAAGGTATTGATGGCACCTCCACATATACCAGTGGTGATCAGAGAACTCTAAAGTCCAATAGGAAAAAAAACAGTGGGAAGACCCCACATCTCCTGCTAATGTTATTGCCCTCCTACAGACTTGAGTCACAACAGACCAACCGGCGGAAGAAGCGTGCTTTGGATGCAGCCTATTGCTTTAGGTAAAGGAAATAAAAATAGAACCAAGTAATTGCATCTGTTAACTCTTACACTGCCTTTGCCCTTTCTTCTACCGTGTATTGACCCAAGTGGAACTCATTGCTAATGCCAGGAAGAGTGCAGTACAGCTCCTCCAAATCATAACACCATTCTTCCCAGAGGCTTATATTCATCAGCTCTTTAGCAATGAACCAAGTGGGAAGGGAGAAAACTAGCCCCCTGAATTTTTTCCCTCAAATTCCTTGGAAGTTCTTTGGTGCTGAAGAAGAGAGTGAGCTCTCTGCTCCTCATAACAAATAGAAGCTTATTTGAGGTGCATGATGGCAACTCCTTAATTAAGGAAGACCCACCATCTGTATGAAGCCTTCACCCTCACCAAGTCCAAGTGCTCGTAGTCACACTTCTTTCATATAACAGAGATGAGACAGCAGAATAATGCCATCTGTCACGGCTTTAGCAACAACATATGAGAGAAGCAAGAAGAATTTATTTCCTATTCCCACATGAGTGCATGGAGGGAGAATGTGAATGTTCTTATGTGGTCTCAGTAAGAGGAGGGCTCCCTCCTTATTTTGTTGAGGTATAGGGCAGGGAAGGGTCCTCACTGATGAAGTGCTCAGAGCATCAGAGGCTATGAGGAAAGTGGCAGTTTTTGATTACCAGATCCAGTGGTTACCCTCAGCAAGACTCTCATGTTTCTTGATCTCTGGTTCATTCCTTGTCAGGGAACACATGGTGAAATAAAGGATTGATTCTCAAAGGAAAATGCCCTAGATGGTTCTTTGAAAATTGCTGTTGTACTTTCGTTTTATATTTGAAAGTGCAATAGAGGCTGGATGGCAGAACTGCCCAGTGTTGATTGGAAAGGGCTTCATCCAGCCACTCCCTGGGCCCATGATATTTGGTTTTTAGATGTTTGTTGAATAAATGAATGAGTCATTTTTCTGGTTTGGGGTGAGGTGGTGGTAGAGTGAGGGTGGTGAATCAGCTTTAAAATCTCCATTGCTTTTTTTTTTTTTTTTTAACAGAAATGTGCAGGACAATTGCTGCCTACGCCCACTTTACATTGATTTCAAGAGGGATCTTGGGTGGAAATGGATACACGAACCCAAAGGGTACAATGCCAACTTCTGTGCTGGAGCATGCCCATATTTATGGAGTTCAGACACTCAGCACAGCAGGGTGAGTGTTCGGCTAACCCGTTAGCTCTCTTCTTGGGTTACCATGTGCACCTGCTGATTGTATTTACAAATGAGTTGTAATTAACCCAGTGCCCTTTTACCATCACACATATATGGGTACTGGAGAAATGTCTCATTCGTTTGGTGTAAAAGTAATCCCGGTTTTTGCCATGACTTTCAATGGCAAAAACCGTGATTATTTTTGCACCCCCCAATAGGTGGGGAGTAAGAATGTAGACTGTGGGTGAAATCAGAATGTAACACTGGTCAGTTTCAAACTGTAGGTCTCACCTGCCCAGTTATAAACAACTGGAGGGAAGTTTTGTTTAATTTTTTCTTCATTTTATATCCTTTTTAAAAAATATTTTTTATTGATACATAATTGCATATATTAATGAGGTTCATTGATACATGTATATACTGTGTTAATGATGAAATCAGAGTAATTAGGATATCCATCACCTCAAAAATGTATTATTTCATCATTTAGGGAACATTACAGATCATCTCTTCTAGTTATTTTAAAATACACAATAAATTATTGTGAACTATAGTAAACTTACTGTGCTATAAGACATTAAAATGTATTCCTTCTATCTAACTGTATTTTTGTACCTATTAATCAACTTCTCTTCACCCTTACCCTGTTCCCAGCCTCTGGTAACCATTACTCTACTCTCTGCCTTCATGAATTTTATATTCTTAACAGCTATAAGCATAAATAGCCAAAAAAATACCCTTTTTAGAATCAATATGTCACATAGTGTCCTTTATAGATAGAGTGTGAAGGGACCCAGGTCTTCATCTAAAAAAGTATTTGCTATCATCTCCATCAGGGACTGTTATATAAGAATGAATTTTGGGGATTTCAGTTAATGCCTGGGCTTATGTGATTTTTAGTAAATACGCTAGCAATTTACTAATGTATGACAGTTAGAAAGTAATTTAACATCTCTAAACCTCAGCTTCTTATCAGTAAGAAGAAATGTTTGCATTAGAAATTATCTTTAAAATAATAGTGCCAAACTCAAGAGTTGATATGAAGTACAAAAGATGATATATGTGAAAATGATTTGAAAATTGGTTTCTCTACTTTTTTTAAATGTAACACAAAGTAATCAAGGATCTGAGTATTTTATCAAATTATTTCAATGAAGATAGAGGGTTAATTCAGAAGGTAATTTTCAGAGTGGATGGTATGGGTTTCCAGCCAAGATTAGAGAAGACTTTTTCTGTGTAATAATGATATTTGTTCACGTGCTTCCTCCTTATGGCGCATCAGGATTTTAGAGATAGAAAGGACTTCATAAGTTATCTTAGCCAACCCTTTCATTTTCTTAAAGAAATTGAGGACTAGATCATGTAGTCTAGATGATGCCCAAGACCAAATAGAAAATTAGTGACAAACCAAGGCTTGGCATGCACACCTCCTTGTTTTATAACCAGGCCTCCATTTGCTCTGTCTTACTGGGTTTAATTCCTAAAATGTGGCTACACATTGGGGTTTCTATTCTGCTCTTTATGCCTCTGTAAATCTCCCTGTTAAAGAGGCATTAGAAAAATTGCCTTCACTGCAGGGTAGGAAAATGAATCAGCTGCCAAAAAGATCACATATTACATTCAGCTGAATTCATGAGTTTGGGGGTTATCAATTATTTTAGACAATCTGTATTATAAAAATTTCTTTTTAGTTCATATGAAAAATCATGTGTTCATGGAGCATAAAGTATATTTATTTATAAATGCCTGCATATGCTGGAATTTAAATTGACAAATATGGCTCCCCTTCCTTCAGCTGTTTTCCAAACTCCCCTGTAGACTTTGGCACTCGGGGGCGACCGTGTGCTTGGCCATGTGAGGGAAGCTTGCTCATGCCTGTCCCTTTGTCTGAGCTCTCTGGCCAGGCTGCCTCCTCTGAGCTGCGGCAGCAGTAGCTGTAATGTGGGCAAGGCCCTGTTGCCAAGTAGAAACATAATTCTCCTCTCTGATACACAGAGGGAGTGTGTGAAGGCTGAGACCATGCTTGTTTTTCAAGGAGAGAGGAAGAATAACTGTCATGGTCACAAATATGTGGTTTGGACAGTTACCCAAGAAGTCAGAGGTAGCTTAATAAAGTAGTCAGTGTTGCTGTGCTGAACAGATCTTCTGTCTTAGGCTGAAAAAATTGCAGTGAATCTCGAGGAAAAGGTCACTTGCTGTTTGACTAACACATTAATGGCATCCTTGGAAATGTCTCTGTATCATCAGCAGGGAACCTACATACTTCCATTAGTAAAAGTTGCACACCCCTCTGATACAGAATGGGGTTAAAGATATAATAGGGCTAATTATAGAGCTGTCTCTTCATTCTGTTCTCGGACTTGCCATTCATTCCTCCAACTCAGCAACTACCATTTACCTCCTGGAAGGCTAATGGAGGGTTGATTACGATCGTGATTGCTATTATGATCGTTTTAAGCAAAATGTAAGAAAGTGAATAATTCTTAGAGGCGATCTTAGAGATCAACTTTTATGTTGTTCCTACCATCATTGTGTTTATGAAGTAATGGTAAATAAAAAGGCTTTTTTTTTTTAAATGAAAATTGAGGATATGTTAAATTGGCCCGAGGAGACACAACATAGATTTCATTTCCTTCCTTCCTTATTTATGTGTTTAAAGAAACAGCATCTGGGTCTGTTGTCCAGGCTGGTCCTGAACTACTGGACTCAAGTAATCCTTCAGCCTTGACCTCTCAAAGTGTTTGGATTGCAGGCATGAGCCACTGCGCCCAGCCTGTGGAAAGATTCCACGTTGCAGACAGGTGTCTTTTTCTATACCCGAGGGTAGATTAAAGCTCTTATGAGAGTTTTGATAAAACTTTTTATTTCTTCTGCTTACTTATGTATTCATTTCTTCACTTCGTACATGAATTTCATTTTGTCCAGAGAAGACTTACTAGGGCTACAAGATAAAAACAAAGTCTATAGAGTTCCTGACCTGGAGGGAGCTTTTAATCTCGATGGAATTTAAAATGTATACTCAGGAAACAACTTCATTTAGAGAGTAGTGTAGAAATAAGACCAAATACTACAAGGATCCAGTTTTGTGGGGACCTAGGAAATATGTGTGACCAAGCACCGATCAGAGGAAAGACTTACTGGAAAAACTGGGAAAATCTGTTGAATGAGCAATTTTTTCCAATCTGACTCTTACAGGATCATTTGCTTAAGACGTGTGAAGAATGCGTTCCATTTGACTGTAATTTAGGAAATCAGGAACCGAAAATAATTTAAATTGCCTGCTCAGTGCTGTGACTGATCACAATGCAGAATTGTTTTTTAAAAACTAATTGTGTTTGTCCCTATGTTGTCTCTCCTCTCCTGTGTCCTTTCAGGTCCTGAGCTTATATAATACCATAAATCCAGAAGCATCTGCTTCTCCCTGCTGCGTGTCCCAAGATTTAGAACCTCTAACCATTCTCTACTACATCGGCAAAACACCCAAGATTGAACAGCTTTCTAATATGATTGTAAAGTCTTGCAAATGCAGCTAAAATTCTTGGAAAAGTGGCAAGACCAAAGTCACGACGATGATGATGACGACGACAATGATGATGCTTGTAACGAGAAAACGTAAGAGAGCCTTGGTTCATCAGTGTTAGAAAAACATTGGAAAAGGCGGTACTAGTTCAGACACTTTGGAAGTCTGTGTTCTGTTTGTTAAAACTGGCACCTGACACAAAAAAAGTTGAAGGCCTTATTCTGCATTTCACCTACTTTGTAAGTGAGAGAGACAAGAAGCAAAATTTTTTTAAAGAAAAAATAAACACTGGAAGAATTTATTAGTGTTAATTATGTGAACAACAACAACAAAACAAAACAGGAAAATCCCATTAAGTGGAGTTGCTGTACGTACCGTTCCTATCCCACGCCTCACTTGATTTCTCTGTATTGCTATGCAATAGGCACCCTTCCCATTCTTACTCTTAGAGTTAACAGTGAGTTATTTATTGTGTGTTACTATATAATGAACGTTTCATTGCCCTTGGAAAATAAAACAGGTGTATAAAGTGGAGACCAAATACTTTGCCAGAAACTCATGGATGGCTTAAGGAACTTGAACTCAAACGAGCCAGAAAAAAAGAGGCCATATTAATGGGATGAAAACCCAAGTGAGTTATTATATGACCGAGAAAGTCTACATTAAGATAAAGACCCTGAAAACACATGTTATGTACCAGCTGCCTAAGGAAGCTTCTTGTAAGATCCAAAACCTAAAAAGCCTGTTAATAAAAGAAACTTTCAGTCAGAATAAGTCTGTAAGATTTTTTTTTTTTCTTTTTAATTGTAAATGGTTCTTTGTCAGTTTAGTAAACCAATGAAATGTTGAAATGTTTTGACATGTACTGGTCAAACTTCAGACCTTAAAATATTGCTGTATAGCTATGCTATAGGTTTTTTTTTTTTCCTTTGTTTCGGTATATGTAACCATACCTATATTATTAAAATAGATGGATACAGAGGCCAGCATAATTGAAAACACATCTGCAGATCTCTTTTGCAAACTATTAAATCAAAACATTAACTACTTTATGTGTAATGTGTAAATTTTTACCATATTTTTTATATTCTGTAATAATGTCAACTACGATTTAGATTGACTTAAATTTCGGCTCTTTTTAATGATCACTCACAAATGTATGTTTCTTTTAGCTGGCCAGTACTTTTGAGTAAAGCCCCTGTATTTTGACTTGCACTACAAATGCATTTTTTATGATATTTGCCCTACTTGTGCTTTGTGTATTGTTCATTATTATGAATAAGCTACCTGGGTCCACTTGTCCTTTTTTTCCTTTTACAAAAAAGATGGGTTCGAGTTCAGTGGTCTTCCTTCATCTTCTAAGCATCATTACTAACTATGTCAGACGTTAACAAGCTTCTATGTTAGGAAAAGGAGGAACGTTATAGATAAACGGAAAATTGAGGTTGAATGTTTTAGTTTTAGCAAGGATTTAGGGATCTAACTAAAACTCAGACTCTTGATTAAGAAAGTTTTCTCTACCTTGGTGTAATCAATATTTTTATAAAATTCTATTGTTATCACAAAGCAGACACTTCATAGGAAACATCTTTTTCTTTAGTCAGGTTTTTAATATTCAGGGGGAAATTGAAAGATAGACATTTTAGTTGATTTTTCAAAAGGGGAAAAAGTCCAGATCAGCCTAAGTCATTTTGTGTATTTCACTGAAGTTAAGATTTTCATAAATGTTCTGTCAAGGTGAAAAGGCACAAGCCAATTTTTCCTATGATCAAAAAATTCTTTCTTTCCTCTGAGTGAGAGTTATCTATAGCTGAGGCTAATGTTTACCTTGCTTTAATAAATCATTTGCCACATCATTGCAGAAGAGGTATCCTCATTTGGGGTTTATAGAATATGTCAGTTTGTCACTTGTCACTTATTTTGCTTTAAAATAAAAATTCATAGGTAAAGCAATGGAATATTTGCAGTTTCGCCTAAAGAGCAGCATAAGGAGGTGAGAATCCAAAGTGAAGTTGTTTGATATGGTCTACTTCTTTTTTGGAATTTCCTGACCATTAATTAAAGTAAAGATTGGATTCGCAAGTTTGAAAACTGGAAAAGCAAGAGATGGGATGGCACAATAGTAAGCAGCCCTTGTGTTGGATGTAACCCAATCCCAGATTTGAGTGTGTGTTGATTATTTCTTTTTTGTCTTCCACTTTTCTATTAATTATGTGTAAATCACTTTTATTTCTGCAGGTATTTTCCTCTCAGATAGGATGACATTTTGTTTTGTATTATTTTGTCTTTCCTCATGAATGCACTGATAATATTTTAAAAGCTCTATTTTAAGATCTCTTGAATCTTTTTTTTTTTTTTTAATTTGGGGGGTTCTATAAGGTCTTTATTTCCCATAAGTAAATGTTGCTGCGGGAGGGGGGTGGAGGTGGGAAGGCAGGGGGGAAGTGGTAGTACGCAAGTGGGCAGCAATTTTTTGTGTGTTAATCAGCAATACAATTTGATCGTTGGCATGGTTTAAAAAATGGAATATAAGATTAGCTGTTTTGTATTTTGATGACCAATTATGCTGTATTTTAACACGATGTATGTCTGTTTTTGTGGTGCTCTAGTGGTAAATAAATTATTTCAATGATATGTGGATGTCTTTTTCCTATCGGTACCGTCACTGAGTCTAGAAAACACCTGTGATGCAATAAGACTCTCTCAAGCTGGAAAAGTCATACCACCTTTTAGATTGCCCTCTGTGCTTTTTTCCTTAAGGATAGTCACTTCAGAAGTCATGCTTTAAAGCACAGGAGTCAGGCCATATCCATCAAGGATGGAAGAAATCCCTGTGCAGTCTTTTTATTCCCTTATTTATTGCTATTTGGTAATTGTTTGAGATTTAGTTTCCATCCAGCTTGACTGCCGACCAGAAAAAATGCAGAGAGATGTTTGCACCATGCTCTGGCTTTCTGGTTCTATGTTCTGCCAACGCCAGGGCCAAAAGGACTGGTCTAGACAGTATCCCCTGTAGCCCCATAACTTGGATAGTTACTGAGCCAGCCAGATATAACAAGAGCCACGTGCTCTTTGGGCTTGGTTGTTTGGGATTAGCTACTCGTCTGACAGTTTCACTGGTACTACTGCACCAAAACCAAAAAGCCCACCCTGTTTCCTCCAATGTTTTTGGCTGTTGCCTGCAAGACCAGACTTTTCAAATAAGTTGCCAATCTCTTAATAAATAGAAGTGATAAAAAAGAAGTTGTGACTCAATCTGGTAGTGTTGCTTTGTCTAGTGAAAGAATTAGTGTGTGCCTGTTGTGTTGTCTAAACATCATCTAGAAACAAACCATCAGTTCGAGTATTGAGGTAGAAGAGAAAATGATTCCCTTTTCTGCAATCTCATCGGTGTTTGATCTTTTATAGCCAACTCAAAGACAGCGAGGGAGTGTGTCACTCTAAACCCATTAGTTAATGCTTCCGTGCAGCGTGGCCAGTCCCAGACCTATCACCCCAACCCACATTATATTTAATTGTTGAGTAAGCATAGAAGGCATCGTAGAATCAGAGAGATGAAAAAAGCCACCTAACAGCCTTACCAACTTTGGCAAATTTATCAGCAACTCTGGGCCTTTATTTATCTTTAAAATGAAGATGAGAATACCTGCTCTACGGCGTTTTGCCTGTGTGTTTTAGTGCCCTTGTTAAGTGAATAGGCACGTGAAAAGGTACTTTGCTTAGGGTTTGGTCTGTAATTGGCAGAGTAAATGGCAGGCAGGCTTAACAATGTTTCCCAGCCTGCTGTTTTTGGTTTCTTGGCAATCTTGTAATGAACTTTCAACCTCCAGACTATAACCTGCGCTCATATTTCTCCATCTTGATACTAAATGTGTAAAACCTCCAGACCCTTATCTCGTAAATTGATCAGGACATCAGTAATTCCTGAGAATATTCTATAACTCTATATGTTAACCTTCTGGTTACAGGACTGACAGAAGTTATTTACAGGGGAGATGTTCATTTTAAGCTTTGCTGAAGTCCATCAACTAAAATTCAAAGTAAAAGAGAACAGTGGCTAGTTGAATGACCCACTCCCTAACATGATAATGCAGTATTGATCATTACCGTATTCTGAGCGCCTACCACATACTGTTGTCTTTTAATTTATTTAATCTCATATTTAATCCTATGATGTAGGTTTTTTTAAAAAATATAACTCCATTTTACAAGGAAGTGCGCAGACTCAGAACACTTAAATTGTCAAAGACCACTCAGTTTAAGTGAAGGGTCCAGAACTTCATTGTCCATTAATTAGCCACCAGCCACATGGGGTCATTGAGCAGTTGAAAGATGGCTAATGTGAATTGAGATATGCCAGATGTGTAAAATAAACACCAGATTTTGAAGACTTAGTACAAAAGAGTAAAATGTAAAATGTCTCATTAATGATTTTTATATTGATTACCTGTCTAAATAATACTATTTTGAATATATGGGAGTAAATAAAGTATATTATTAATATTACCTGTTTTTTTCACTTATTTAGTACAGTTACTAGAAAATTTAAAATTACATATGTGGCTCACATTTGTGTCTTGTGTTCTATTTCTAGTAGACAGCTCTGGAGAAGAATTTGAAAGCAGTTCTGTTTACAAACAATGGCTATATGACTCCCATAAGCTATAATATTACCAGCCTTTGTTTTTGTAATTTACATGTGATTGAACAATATTAGGTCAGACCTTATGAAAGTGAAGTTTTTGCAGGTCAAAATGTGTTGAATATTGGCATTCTATAGAGTTCAGCATAAAAGGTAGTGCTGACTGACATCTGTGATAATGAAAATACAAATATTACCTAAGGCTCACTGGCAAAGCCCTTGATGAAACTGATGGTTACATACAAGCAAAGCATCACTAAGTGGAACAGCACAACCTACTCCTAAGTAAGTTGGGCTATTGTATGAAATGATTTCAGCCTGTAGAAACCTTCAGTAATGTACGTGTGACAAACTTTTCTAAACATTTTTAGTGGGGAATAAAAAGAAAAAGCCAAAAACTCTCTGTGTTCCGTGCAGTCACTAGCCTTGAGATGGCATGGCTTTTCTATCTGGGAATAAGCTGAGCTGTGCTTCTTTTGCTAATAGGCCTTAGACTAAGGCTGGATGTATGGCTTGTCTTCCTGAAACACATAGAATGTATGTGGGAGGGGAACTGCTTTAAAAAAGAAGAAGCAAAATTTCAAATACAAAATTGCTCATAAAAGTGAAAGGCCAGGACTTCAAGCATATGACGGCAAACCTGTCTCTGAACTTTAGCTGATACATGCCTTTGTTTCTATCAAAGACTAGCAAACCTAGATGGCAACTCTTTTTGCTAATCTACTAAATTATCACTCTATTCTCGAGTCTTTCTGTTGTCTCTGCAACCACCTCCTCTGCACTGAACAAAGAAAACCAGGACCCTGATTTTACTAACATTCCAGGTCAGGTCAGAGATAGTAGAGGAAATGTTATTTTTGTGCCTCTTTTGGAGCATAATAACTAGATCTGATGAGATTAGAGAAATGACATAAATATTAGGTAATTGTATCAATATATATGAATAATTATACTCACCATTGCAAACAGAATCCTTTTTAACTGCCTTTTTTAAATAAAAGAGTTGCTTTAGGTTTTTCCCTGATTGAATCTTATTTCCCTGAATTATTTTGTAGTTAGTTTCTTTATTTCAGCAAGTAATGGTTGTTTGGAGAAGAGATGAGTGTGTTCCTGTAATTGGGCAGAGACCTTGTAAAAGGAACAGAATGTACTGAGAGAGACTTTGTGCTGTGTGATCAGAACTAGGAAAATCATTCAGCCTAAGAGAACAGACATAATTAAGCAGAAAAGAAAAAAAAATTACTGGTAAGGAAACAGGCCCAATATAATCTCTTAGGCTTTCCCTCCAACATGGGATTTTCTCTCCTATAGATGCCAACCCAACTGAAAGAACACAGACACGTTCCTCAGGTGACATCACCAAGGTCTGGCCAGCCCTGGAGTTGGAAACCCTCTCCTCAGGCCCAAATCTCAATTCTGAAAAATCCCGAATCTCAGGCTGTTGGGAGCAAACAAGTTAAGAAGTTATGTAATTCAATACTGCTCTAAAAGCGATGTGAAGTCATGCAGTTTGGCCCGTCCTCAAGCATGGGTGTAACACTAATTTCTTCATTTGAACCAAAATTAAACTCTACAGAAAACTGGGGAGAACTTTAAATCAAGTGGCAGTTCTTCATTTAGTGAAATATCAAATTTCACATCACCACTGTGCACATCTTCCCTTTGCTCATAACCTGGCCTTCCAAGAAATCACTGGCTGCCTCCAAATTTTTGTATATATATATATATATATATATATTTACACACACACACATATATATATATATGATATACATAATATATTCTTGTGGAAATATATATATATATATATATATATATATATATATACACAGTTTTAAATATGAATATCCTCAATAGGGCAGCACAGGAAACAATTTCAACTGAAACATGCTAGGATGGATTTTGATTTGTTAATCTCCATCAGGGACCTGGAATAGTGAGACCATTGAATACCTCAGGGCAAGAAGGAAGTGGAAGGGCAGGATGGACAAAGGGAGTTGAGCCAGAAAGGGAGCTGGGGACCCTGGGCATCAACATTATGTGTGCCACACATTTAGTGGAGATTGATGTCCTGTATATACCATCACAGCAATAAACTTCTTTTGTGGTAAGAAGAGCAACAGGGAATAGTTACTCTCCCAGCAAGACTGCCTACATAAAGAAAAAATAATGAAACAAATGTAGAGAGAAAAACAAAAAATTGGTCAACTGGGCTTAACTTGAAGTAAAAGATTTAGTCGAGGAATCTCACTGTGCCATTGTCTTTCAGTATGCGTCTTTAAAAGCCAAAGTGCTAGTTGCAGAAATGATATGATGGGACAAAGTGGCCCCTTGTTCTCAGTCTGTGCCCTGTTATGCTGGGTTTCTGGAATCGTCAGATCCCACTTCCAGGAGCCTCCCTATAATCAGCGAGTGTTCCCAGTCCTATGCTTCTTATTCGAGACCATTCTTGACATGATTTGGTTCTGTGCCCCACCAAAATCTCAGCTTGAATTGTAATCCCATAATCCCTATGTGTCATGGGAGGGACCTGATGGGAAGTGATTGAGTCTTGGGGACGGTTTTCCCCATGCAGTTCTCATGATAGTGAGAGAGTTCTCACGAGAGCTGATGGTTTATAAGCATCTGGCATTTCCCTGCTGGCACTCATTCTCTCTCCTGCCGCCCTGTGAACAGGTGCCTCCCACCATTATTGTAAGTTTTCTGAGGCCTCACCAGCCATATGGAACCATGTCAATTAAACTTCTTTTCTTTATAAATTACTCAGTCTCAGGTATTTCTTCATAGCAGTGTGAGAACAGACTAATACAGCTCCTTATTTATCCTGTTTCCAGCCGCTAGTACACAATTGAGCTTATGGCAATTTAACAAATGTTTGTTAAGTTGAAAAGGGGCGTAGACAGGACTGTAGCTCCAGCTCTGCCACTGACATACTGTGGGACATGGTAAAATCACCTAACTTTGTCACTGCTTTCTTTGTCAATAACAAAAA